CCCATACAATGAAATCCCTATTTACACAAAGCTGTAAACAACAGGGAGACTAGGGGGAGGGCTGGTAATAGATTTCCACCAGGATGTGCCTGACCTGCTTTTTTTCAACCTCAGTAATTAGAAAGGCTGTGGGTCTGTAGGAATTATTCATATGCAGCAAGAGCCGTACACTATACATTTATGTTAAACATGTCAAACCCGATTGAAATCATGCCTGCCAGCACCATACTCCATAAACACACTTTTCCCCTCACAGTCGCCCAGACCTTGCTGGCCCATTAATACCGCCTTTTAATAGCAATCTTCCATAGATTCAAATCAGGGACATTCCACTGCACTAATTGCTCTGTGTTAGGTGAGCATCATGGATTTAAGAAAAAAAAAAATTAAAATAAAATCCCTTCAGGCCATTCTCCTAGAAAAACAACACTCAAACTACAATTCTAACTCAAAATTTTCCAAAAATACAGACACAGACATCAATTAAGGATTTTGGAAGCATTATCATGTTGGTATTTTCAGTTGGGCTATGGGCCCATCTTTGTGTTTTCAAGCACCAACACCCCCTGGTCATCTTGTCTCAAATTAGCTTAACTAGACCCAGTTTAGTGCTCTGTGGCTGGAAACGATGGCGGCTACAGGATTTAAATAACCATCTTGTTATGATTCTTTGCCAAGAGTTCAATTTTTTCCCCTAATTATTGGTGATAAAGCATCACATTAATTGTATATCACTTAATTTATAGCAATTAACGGCTGATTGGATAATCACTGCATTAATTATTGTTCAGTTGCCGACACTGGGGCCTCTTCAATCTAGAACACACACTTTTAAATCCACACTGCTAAAAGAGAACGAGGGATCGTTTTCATGTTTCAAAAGAGAAAACCACAAAGTTGGACGGTGGAAATTGCTGTGCATTAGGAAAGAGACTGAGCTTCAAAGAACACTCCTGCACCCTCCGTTGGCCCACAAGAGTGCATCACGCTCACCCCGAAGAGGTGGGATGGCTGAAGGGTTTATCAAGGGCCACCACGTGCCATCATGGAGCCCTCAAGAGCCCTCATCATGGAACCCAGGGTGTGGTGGCAGGTGTCATCCATCCATGTTTTACAGATGAGATGCCCGAGGCTTTGGGAGGCCAAGGCCATCTGCTGAGTGGTCCGCTTCACCAACCTGCTTTCAGACTGAGCAAGACGTGGACCTACTATGAGGTAAACTCACAGTGGACCATCCCACTGGCTGTCATGCTCCTGTCACCGCTGTACCACTTTGGGAGAATGCTACTCGCCACACTTAGAACGGAGGTGAAAGCAAGATCGAATGACTCTGCTGAAAAATCGCATTCCTGAAGAAGTGGGACACTGTACCGGTACAAGCTCGGGCTCCGTCCTAAGCAGCAAGGCTGCTCAACAAACCTGAACCTCACTGCGTGCCTTTTTGGCGACCTGCATGAGCTCAGCCGTCCCGGGCTCAGTTTACTTCTCTGCACAATGGCAGGGAGCCTGGGCCAGTCACTTACAGCACCTGTCTCACAGAGTGAGGGGTAGGAACCCAATGAAATAACGTGGGTAAAGCAGAGATTCCCAACTCTCTTTCATATCGCGGCGCACACAGAAACAGTGGCAAGTGAGTACAGGCAGATGAAACTGCAACTGACCCCGGCTTCAGCAGCCCCCCCTCCCCTGGCCACCCACCCCGCCCCCCGCCTCCCGGGCCAACTCAAGGGCTGTACAGATCAGTCCCTGTGCACCTGTGAGCTGTTCCTGGCACGCCTGCTGGGAAGGACAGGTGTGGCGCACTAGAATGGTGCCTGGCACCCAGTTAGAGCTTGGTGTAGCCTTAATAATAACTGGGAAGTTAGTGTAGCTGGGAGGCACCCTTTCAGGGGTAGTGTTGCTCCTTCTGAGTACCTAGAGCTGCGCTGTCCAGATTTAAAGAGCCACATTTCAATTCATTACAATGAAATACAATTGAAAATTCGGTTCCTCAGTAGTACCAGCCACGCTTGAAGGGCTCAAGAGCCACTACGGCTAGTAGCCCCTACTATACTGCACAGGGCAGAACATCTTCATCAGCCCAGGAAGCTCTGTGGGACAGCACTGATCTACAGCAACGCTGTTCTGAGGACTACAGCTCTTCCTGAAAGCCCAGGGGAGTGCTCCATTCCCAGAGTGACAGTCCCTACTGTCATCTCATGGAACGTGGGATCAGTGGAACCCTGCCCAGTGCCCTGCACGTGGGAGCGACCCAGCCCCGGACCGTGGGGTGGATGCTGCTGGGATTCAAAGCACCATCCTGCCTGCCCCACTGCCACTTGAGGTCAAACACCTGACACCTCCATAAAGGAAGCCCAAAGACGGTGGCCAATGGACACCGAAATGGACACCAGGAGTTCTCTTCCAACATAAAAATAAATGACTAAAAATTTTTAGTAAAGATTATCCATTCCTGCACAAACCCCAAACTACATAATCAATAGCCGAGAAAATGCCAATTATCCAGGCTCATTTGAAATATTATTAATCCACACCGTGAGCGGCCACTAATCAACGGTACAAATTGTGAAATCACTATTTATTTATTTGCTGGGAGGAAGTGCTCCCCATCACATTTAATCAGAAAGGAACAGCTCAATTTAGGGCATAAATGGAACAAACGCAGATATTTTTTTTTTATATAAAATAGTAAGGATCCCAAAGAAAGCCGCGAAGAGGTTGCTGCCACCTGTATCGATTCCAAGATCAAATTGGCTCAAGTGCCTTAATAAAGCCTGTCATTACACACTCAGACAACATAGACGAAATTATGCTTCGGGTCAAAAGAGGATCATTTGCAGGAGTCAGCAAAGAACTTCCCCTTCTCTCTTTACTACTATCCGACTAAGGGGCACCTCTGAGTTACTCGTCCACGGTCTCGCTCTCTCTCTCCTCTGTCTTCTGGACATAAAGTACAGTCTGCTGCTTGAACGAACGAATGAGTGAACAAGCGAATGAGAACGCGGGGCTTTATGAAAGACGCTCATTTTTACGGCACTCCCGGTTGCCTGGCACAGGAGGAATTTCGCAAATGGCAGTCACGTCGTGTCACTGACTCAGTGTCCTCAGCGCGCAGAATGCAGGCACCGCCCACACAGACTGTCGACACGATCCAGTAAGCTCTTACGTGCTGTTCTCCCTCCGTGTCTCGAAATTCCTCAAAGCCACAAGCTGCCTGGCGACAGTTTCACGTTCACAGGAAAGGACCCGAAGAGAAACTGCTACTAGTTTTCCTCATCTTATTTAACCAAATTATTAAAACAACAAAAACCTCCCTAAGGCAGAGCTTCCTATATACCAGGCACTGTTCTAGGATTCCCATATTCAAATAATCCTCACAGCGATCCTCTGAAAGTAGGTACTACTTTTAATCCCCATCTCGGGTGAGAAACGGAGGCACAGAAAGGTGAAGCCACAGTTTCAGAAACTGTGAAAACGAAGGACAGATGGCCTGGAAGGTTACTCGGCCTTCCGACGGTGTGCGTGAAAACCTCTTCCCCAGGTCACCTCTGTCTGCAAAGTCCGTGTACAGCAGAAAGCCGGGTCTCGGTAGGTGACCCTCCCCGGTGCGGAAGACCTCTGAGGAGAGACATCTGTGCCCTACCTCCTGGCCCGCCCTTGCAACCCTTCCCGGGGTGCTCGGCCCCATCCCTCAGTGTCTCTCAAGCGCGGGCCTCTGGCCACCACAGTCCCAAAGGGGACGGTTTCGTTCGCTCAACTGCCGTGACACTCTGTCTCTGTGTCCCAGGAAACACTGAACAGGGCCTACTCCGCCCCAGCCCTCCTGAAATTTGGAAGCTGTTAAGCTGCCTCTTGAATTTCTCTTTTACAGACTGAATAGCCCCAATTTCTTCAGCCTCTTTTCAGAGGCAATATTTCTCAGCCTTCAGTGATTTTCATTGCTCTCTCCTGGCCTCTCTCCAAGATTCTGTATCTTGTTTAAATAGTGAAGGCCAACACTGAACATGATTTAAGAACAGTCGTGCCTGGAAAAGTAACAAAGGCCCAACCAATACAGACTCCAGAAGGTAAATATTTTCTCGAAAAAACACAAAGTATTACAATATTAATAATGGAAGGCAGTAAGAATTAGGTTGACCAAATAAAATAATTTCTGCTGCTTGTCATATCATTTCCTCTAATAACTGTGGTGGTTTCTGGGAGACTTATCTGTCCTGAGAAGTCTTCTCAGAAACAACTTTGCTCCTCTCCTCCACAAGGCCTAAACTTTTCCTCTCAGGCTCAGCTCTTCTTTCCTCCAATATAGCGATCCTATCATCACAAGAGATGCCTGTTGCCCTTCTCACAACACCAAGTTTTCCAGAAAGAGCACTTCCTTCCCTGACTTCTGTTTCTTCTGATTTCGGTAACACGTCCTTCTGCCTGGCTTCACTGCCTGCCCGACTTTGGGTGCACTTCAGGGTGTGGGCGCTCACCCTGGAGGCAAGGTAGGAGACACGATGTGCAGAACAAAGCCCCCCCTTCACTGCTGACGGCTTGGAGATCCAGGGGTGACCCCAATCAAGGTGTACAGAGCAAATCCCTCCACTGGGCCTCAGGCGGAGGGGCCTAGATGACTGGACCTTCAACGGAGGAAGACTCACATCAAGGGCGACGCACGCCAGGGAGGAGCCATGGAAGAAATGTGACCTCACCAACACAGAAGCCCCTGGCATAGGGCCAGACACCTGGATGCTCAATAAACAAGCTGGTCTGGGGGCCATTTAGGAAACACTTTAGAAATTCTTTAATATAACCTAAGAGGAGAAGAATGAAGCAGACCACTCAAAAAAGCAAAACCCATATCCTTCTCCCGCTGCACAGAACCGACAGTTTTTCAGGGGAGATGAAGGATGCATTTTCTCCCTGACTTGTTGGCCTCACGCTTCCAGGGGAGAAATGTCGGGGCCTCGGGAGCCCCACACACACACTACCTGTCCACTTGCTCTGGTCCTTCTCGCCTCCACTCTCCTGGTCTTTAGCAAGCTCCTCTGGATCAGCAGTCGCGTCACTGGGCCCTTCAACATCTTCAGTGGCTTCTTCTGAAAGAGAAGGAAAACAAAATGTCAAGGATCAAAAGTGGACAGAAGATGAAGGACTCTCGGCTCCTACTCCAAAGAATTACGGAGCACAACACAGAGATGCCAGTGACTGTCCCTCGTGTCTTCCCCGTAGCCCCCAAAAGGCTGACTGTACTTCGGCTGTGCCGAGGTCTAGGTAAGCAGCGGGGCCTTCCCGTCCCCACTCACTGGTAGGAGACTGACTCGTTTTAGACTTGTGGATATTACGTATCTGCAGATGGATTCTGAATGCCTCATTTGAGCTTTTAATATTGGAAAGCCAGTCCTGTTGAAGAAATAACTCCATCTAAATTCCTGAAGTTGCATACAAGTCTTTTGCACTTGAAAATGCAAGAAAGGAGCCACATGTCGTCTCTTGCCTAGCCCCAACCCCAGCGCGTCCTGGATTTGAATGACACCAGACCCTGTCGCTGACCCTTCAGAGGCCTCGCAGTGCGGGTGCATGTGCCAGACCGCGGCGGGAGGTGTTGTTGGTTTTCTGTTTGTTTGGTTTTTAACAGTCACTCACAGTCTGAAGGATCACAGAGTATCAGTGATAGGATTTCATTAATGTGAAGAGTTTTAGAAAACAAACAACATCTGTACAAACAACATCTGTAGGCCTGCCAGGCGTCAGTGGCGAGAAGCTAGATTTGTAGAGAAAGGGAAAAAAATGTGCAAGAGAATCATGTATTTTCCTTTTGAAGTCAGTCCATTCTTTACCCATCACTGGTTTAAAACTAGCCATGGAAATTCTCTCCACCTCAACATATAATGCTTTGGGTGAAGACAGAAGAATGGTCATTTCCAACATGAGGCTACTCCTGCAATAAAACTCCACCTGCCCATGTGGGAAGGAAGAGGCTAAGATGCCCTATCGATGCTGAGGAAAAGGAGGTGAGACATTTCTCTTCTGCTCTCCTGGCACTCTGGATCATTATCCAAAACGCTCATTAAGGATGGGTTAAATGAATGAATAAGGCAGGCTAACCGAGGTGGGTTAATGATGACATTATTCGCAGACTTTGAAGAGCACACCTTCCTGGGATGAGAACCTGGCTGCGCACGTCCATCACCCGAGGCTGGAACCGGCCCGGATGAATGGGGACCAGGTACTGGATTCCGGGCTCTGACCAATGTCACCCTAGGTCTCTGGATCCACTAACCTACCTTTCAATGTTTCAAGGTGTTACCCTCCCCAACCCTGCGGAAAATAGCTTCTAAATTTCAACACACAAAAGAAGTAAAAGGAGTTCAGAATGAAATGACCTCAGAGGGTTTACAAAACACTTGAGGAAGAAAGTATCTACTTAGAGTCTGATTTTCCTAATTCTTCCCAAAAAGACAATGGAAGTCCAAAGACTGGAAAACTGAACTTGGGGTCGGGGAACATTCTTCATTCCCTCCAACAGGAGATTTATGAGGCAGGCATGGGGAACACAGATGAAATAAGAGCATGCTTATTTTCACCTCCAAGTAAGAGGGAAGGAAGGAACCCCACATCTGATCTCTGTGTCTCCCTTTTGTCTCACTGCACAGCAAAGTTAACAGCAAGTCTCCCCATACCCATCCTCAGTTCTGAGAAAAATCAGGCAACCATGGTTTAAGGTCAATCTGATATACAGTGCCATATGAACACCATACATCACTGAGTAAAGAAAAAATGTTATATACAAATGTTAGTCGAGAATAACACGTGAGTTACACGGTATGATGTATGCACAGTCTTCATTATGTCCAGGCAGGATGTTCAATGCACATTTTTTACACTTTTGATAAAATTGTTCAACACTGTAATTATAAAATTCATCTTTGGTGATACCAGAATTCAGTCAATCAATATTAAATTGGGCCTACCCGAAAGAATGAGGGCCCTTAAAATATAATCCTTTGCCCCCGTACATGCTGCAACACAAACTATCTGTAGTGGTGTAGGTATTAATCAAATTTGATTATGCAGAGATGGCTGAATGGCTCCACCTCTCTCTCTCTCTCTCTCTCACACACACACACACACACACACACACACACACACACACGGTCACCTTAGATGGAGAGAGTCTGTCACATACAAAACAGACAAGACCCTGCTGTAAACAGTGTCTGGGGTGCTGCCCTGCAGAGGAGGGAAAGGACTGACCCCCTGGGAGGCCACCCCCAAGGCCAGCACCGCTCTCCTCCACATCACGTGGGCTGCAGAGCTGAGAACTCACAGTCACTCTGGCACTGACCCCAGTTCTCTGAGCCTTTCCCAACAAATCTTATTCAGAAGATACAGAGTGTGAAGAATAAGTACATCGTGGATATGATGAGCAAGAAAAGCCGCACAGTGCTTTGTGAATATTCTTGAAGCCCTCATTCCCTCCCTGCCCTACTACAAGCAGAAAAGTGAAGGCAGCTGAGGAGTTCCAAAGAGAGGATGGAGGACAGAGGTGACTTCAGGAACTTGTGGTGTTTCTCCCCCCCACCCGCTTTTCTTCTTTATTTTTAAGATTTAAATATCAAATCCTCTTCTTTTTCAGTTCCCAGGTTTAATGTTATCATTTGTCACTCACTCACTAAAAGGCTGTTATATGCCTGGTGGGAGAAGGAACGATCAGGAAACTCCTGGACAGCTCAGAGTCCTCACCCCCAACTAAAAACCGGGTCCCGTTCAGCCAGGCAGGCACTTCCCTGCAGTTCCACCTACGACCTACAGGTGTCGCCCTCTGCATGGCGAGGCCTGGAAGGGCAGCGTGCTGCGGAAGCAGACACTGTCTGGGCCGCCCAACCTGAGCATGTGGAAATAATACACGTCTTCAAGTGAACTGTCTGGTCCCGGGGAAATAAAATAGGGCATTCATAAGCAGTTACACCATCTGTCTTTATACCATCATCATCAACAGCAAGAGGAAAAAATAGCTCTTTAAAATGGATGAAAGCCCAGGCTGACAGTAACCAGAAAACTGTGAGCCCTGAATACCAATAAAGGTAGAGAAATGATGAAAAAACAGAGATACAAACTATGAATTTGTCTGGATGGCTCAGACCCACAGTGCTTTGCAGGCGGCCCATGTTTAATGGGTCTCCAAAGCCTAAAGAAACCCCCACTCACTAAGACCCAGGCCTCGGGCCCCCAAGGAAGGGTCTGGTGTCCCTGCATGGGAACCACGATGTGGGGACCCGGGGAGCAACGGCATCCACACAGTCTGAGCTCCTGGGGCTGGTTATCTAGCCCTTGTTCCCCTTAGGGATGTATATTTGACACCCATGTGCCGATCAAGCAAGGAGTGGGGGAGGGCAGTTTCCCCCAGATCACAGATTGCATTTTCCACCCGTGAAGTCAGTGGCAACTGGCCGGGGTCATTACGGAAGTTGATTTTTTTCCCCCCTAAATAATATCAGCTACTGACAGATGGTGGGAACCAGTGAAGACTTGATGGACCAATGATCCGGTTTTATCTGGAAAATCCTGTCTTTCCCTCAGTTGGCGAAGTTGTTTCCCTTCCCTAAGACACACAGCAGTCGCTGTGCCACTTTGAAGACTGAAATGGACAAATCAAAACCATCTATTCCCCAGGAGTTTAGTACTATTTCAGAACCAAGCAGAACACACCAGGCATGTTTTCTCAAGGGCAAAGCCCGGGCCGATGTGAGGAGGTCATCTCAGCTCCCTACGCCCTGCCTGTTCCTGGCAGGGGGCAGCAGGCCCAGCACAAGCCAGGTAAGAATGTCTGCTTTTTAGAAGACTCCAGAGAAGCTGCCTCCACAACCTCTACAGCAGAAGCCGACTTTGATGGGTACATCCCAAGGGGGCCCTCAAACGAGGGCACCCCTCCTATTTGAATGTATTTTCACGTTAAAGGGCTAGGGAACCAGAAGCAAATCTTGAATGACTGTGAGGTCTTCCTGGTATCCCTTCTGCCTTCAACCTCCACATAAAACAGTGGCCGCAGGTCTTTAAAAAAATCGATTTCCATCCCTGCCTCCTTTTCGCAACTGCTTCTCCCAGACAGCACTTACTAGCACTCAGGCCAAACCCAGCCTGCTCACGCCTGTCTCCTGGCTGAGCACACGGCCCTCAGGTGTAAGAATTTCAAAGGGAAGGGTTCCTGGGGCACCTTAGGTTTTTGAGGTGATGATACCGTGGCTGCAGAAAATTTCCCTTCACTCGGAGTGGTTTTGCTCACCACAAACGCAAACTGTTCTCTGAACATACCTTACACTTAGCATGTTGGCAAAGGTGACTGCATGATTCCCCAACGTGTGGTGAGATCTGCTCCCGAAGGAGGTGTGCGTGCCAACTGGCAGCCCCGTGGTGATGTGCGACCATTTCATGAACAACCTGGAAACTGGTGTGTGAGAGGAGCCCCGGGCAGAAGCAAGAACGGAGGTGGCGTCATGGTCAAGTCGGCGCTCACCGCCACCGCACACATCCCCCCAATGCATTACCCAAGAAAACGTGCTGGGTGGGGTGCCAGAAACACAATCCTGCTCACCCCGTACCTGGGGTACCTGGGGCCGAGGGCCACGCCCACTGGGTGTCCTTCACAAACTGCTCTCGGACTCGAAGGAAGGGGAGTCAGTCAACTACTGGAGACAAGGCCCTCCGTTCCCAACTCTTCACAGGAGGACGGAGATCAATTCGAACCTTCCCCCAAGCCTGAGAAAGCCCCTGGAGTGCCTCGATGTGACAGAAATTTGGAAATTCTCCTAAGAATCAGGGTGTCTGTACCCAAGGCTCTCGGGCGATCGTGTTACTTAAATAATACAACAATCCGGGATCCCTGAAGAACGAAATTGTTCTTTCCTTTTTCTTTGGGGTGAGCCGTACTTGGGGGGGAATAAAGTGCGTTCGCCTGTCGGCAGGCTCAAGAGCTGAGAAACATTAGCTGTCATGAACCACAATCAAATCGGGTTTGAAATATTTAGCAGTGGCTTGGAAAATGCGGTGGTGCGGCTCTGACAGGCGAGATGTGCACAGACACCCACTTTCCATTATA